TTACATGTGTAATCACATGATGAAGTCAATATAATGAAGTAAATCAAAAGCACTAATACCATACAGAGGAGTCATTAATGCATAATTTATGACTGTATTAATCATTGCAAAATACAGTGATTTGTGTAATAACTGATTTTTTTATATTCTGAGCAGTTTAAATTGCAACAAGAAACATTTTTTTATTTAACTGCTTATTTATTTTGCACACTTTATTTTTGTTTAAATGCTGCATTCTTTAGATTTGTTATTACAGTTCATAGATTTTCCTAATGTCACGTTTACTGTTCTGTTGAGGTTTTGGTTTTGGTTGACTATAACTGGATTATGACAAATTGTAGGGGAAAAAAAGTGCTCCATTCAAGCTGAAGCTTGTTTAGAGACTTTAAACCCAATTTCCTCTATTCCTCGGCTCCTCGTCACTGCAAATAGCATTGTTTCCCTATTTGCCTCACTGTACGGGCCTCTGCATTCTGGGGAGGAAATTATTTATATGGTCAGTGTCAGTTGATCATTGATTTGGTAATTACATGTTTCCCCTTGAGGCTGGGACAACTGATATACAATGCCAATGCTGAGGGGGGGGGGGTCTCTTAGTCTGTTATCCATGACTTATGGCTAATTTGACTCTCCCAGATAGCCCTCTTTTCTTTGCCAACGGCTTTTCAACACAACAAACACTTAAACACAAGTATCATCTTTCTCCCGGGAGAATACTGCACACAGAGAAGCTCAGAATGTGGTGGCAGACAGAAACGATTTCATTGCTGACAACACAGGGTAATAAAATACCAATTGCTGCATGTTGTAACAAACCATTTTTGGACTTTGAGCCTGTCACGGTCTTTTGAAACAGCATGGCATGTTTTGTTGCATCAACATATTTAGTAGATTCCACCTTTTAACGATTGAAAACACTGATATGTAACAGTGAAGATGGCCCTTTGCCCAAGCAGTGCTGGTATATTTGCTAACTTTAATGCACACTGGACTTCATATCTCTATGGCACTCTGCAGAGCCATTTGAAAATTAGTGTGACATGAATTTTTAAGATCTGCTTTATTACTGTCCAATCCAATTCCAAAGTGATTGGATTTGTTTGAACCTGTGTTTATTTGTCAATTTGGTGTTCCACTCAGTGATCCGAGCTTTTCTACAGTTTGCAGTGATCGTTTGGATGAACTACTGTTTAGAGCAGCAATAAAAACATAAATTAGCAAACGACTTTCCCCTACCTTCGCCTCTCAACCGCAGGCATTTATAGCTAAGTAGCACTCAATTTAATAAAAGTATTTTGTCTTACCGTGTGAACAATAAACAAAATGTCTTCAGATTATTAGTTGTTGCGTTAAAACACTTTTAAGCATACTGTATGAAATATGGGAGGGAAAGAAAATTTCCTTCAGGACTGTCAGGGAGTCAGTCAGTGTCAGCACAGATAGTAGGTGGTAACCTGCCTCTTAGTTTCACTTCTGTGGTTTATACTGAACATGATATTCTGGCAGCACTGACTGCCAGGTGCTGAAAGCTTTGTTTATGTCACACATCAACCAAGAAACATTCCTTTGTTGAGATTTATGAGGATCATTAGCTTTGTTTTTAATACAGTAAAAAAAAAAGAAAGAAGCTGTAGCCTAATCTAGCCAACTCATCTCGGCTTTAGGTGTCTCAATCCCTGTGCCTGTTCACCCACATCAATAAGATCACAGAATACCTGCAGAGGAAAGCTGTGTACCACAGATGACAGCACTGATAGGAGATAAACATATTGAATTTGGCAGTACTAAATCAGTGATGACTATTCACTTTCTTCTGAGTGCCACTTGGAAACTCTCCGAAAATCTCGGGAAAGGGTTCAGGGCATTTTTCCAGCTATACAACACTAGCCCCAGAGAACAGACAATGAGACCCAGACGGGCTTAGTAGTCCAGAAACCATTCCTCTCTCAACGGGAACACGTCTTGGACACACACTCCAGTAGTTTTGTCTTGTATGTTGCTATCTCTGCTAGCTGCAGAGTGGAGGGGGTCTGTGCCAGGCAAAGGTCCATAGGGACCATTGGAATCGCTGGGGCTGGAGGAAGTTGGTCTGGGTCCAGTGGGGCGATCTGGGCTTGGTGACAAGCCAAGCTGTCTACTGCAGGGACGCTGGGAAAATGTAAATAAGAGCCTGATAAGGGCTATTGTTTTCATTCCATTCTCATCCCTGCTGAATGGCCTGCTCCCCAGCCACAGAGCATTTTATCTCGAGAGGGGGAGTGAAAGAAATGTAAAGGGTGGGGGTGCAAGAGATTTAAGAGCCCCCACAGGAAAATAAAAATAAACTAACTGGACTCTTCTCTTGTTTTAGCTAATTCCCCAGTATGTGATGTCCTACTTTGAAAAGACAAGAGCAAAACACTCTTCGTTACACCAAAAACTTCAAAACTTTTGCACTAACTGTCTTAAAAAATTATGTTTGCCTTTCACTTGCAAATCTACCAGCACTTGATTTCCAGTGTAATCAGTGACGTGTCAACCTTTTGAAGAAGATTCTGAAGAAATAATTTATTTTATTTATATTATATTTTATTTTATGGTGAATACAGTGTGTATCAATTTCTGACATTCTCTGTGTCATAACCTGACAGTAATTATTATGTTGATACTAACCAGAGTTTCCATCGGCATCTATAATTTCTCCAGAAAGAACAGACACATTTTAAAAACTGAAACAGCATTCCTCCTATTAATCTAAATTCTTCAGAAAAATAGGCTGTGGACGGGTGCTTTGAAAAAAGCCAGACATCTGACTCATTTACCATTTTCCGTGAGCACGCCTGCGCAAAAGTTGCTCCGCTTTCACCAAACCCATTTTTGGTTGCCTGTTTTGTCCATGCTGTTCAAACACTGAAAGATGTTTGAGAGTTATTTTATAGACTAATCCAGGTCATTATTCACCTCTCCCAGGTGGAAGGCAGGGAGGACAGCGGTGCATTCCAGCTGTAGTCTCTCCTGTTGTAAGACTTGGCAGGTCGTGTCTGGCCCAGTGGAGGGGATGGAGAAGTGAGGGAGCGGCAGCTCTCCTGGGAGGGAGGTGGAAAGGAAGGGGGAGGACTGGAGTAGAATGGAAGCTGGCACCACATTATCTCCAACAGTTGGTGCATTCCTTAATGATCAAGTGCTAGAGCAGCATCTGTGATGAAAGTGTGTGTGTCTGAGAGAGGGCGCATATGTGTGCATATTAACATATGCTCACTGTGTTTGTTTAATTCCCCTTTACACCACTTTATGTAATATATAAATAAGCCTTTTCTGTGCTTTAGGGGAGAAAATGCCATGCGCTGATGTTGTTCTGTCTGTCTGAGGATTATGGTTTGAGGGGAGTTTTGTTGTTCCCAGAGAGGAAGTTGTCTCACCCAGGGGTGAAGCACAGGGAAGAAGAGCTGAGCTCTACGACTCCCCCCTGCCCTTAACCCCTGTTTTAAGATCTGTGATCTTTGTGCCACGGAGGGAGTTAACACACACACACACACACACACAAATACACACAACACACAGCCTTTTCTCTCTCCCTCTCTTAGGGTCAAGGGGACAAACTGTGAGTTGGGAATTGGAAAGTCAATAAAGCAGAAGTAATGTTATAATGACCCTGAGCTGAAGATGTCCTGTCGACCCCATCACATTGGAGGAAGTGGACAATCAAACAAAATGGTCACTCTGCTTGATCTCTCTGAAAGCCATCCTTAAACAAGGCCACAAAGACTGCTGACTCCCCATTACTCCCATTTCCTCAGAAGTCAGTGTGGTTGTCAGAGGGAGCAACGATGTTTGGTTTGAAGAGATGTTACAGACAGATAAAAGGAAACAACACTTGTATACATTCTAGACTGTATAAATGTTTTCTGTGTTTGATCTCAAGGATGACAATGGTGAAACTGGAAGCGTCCAAAATATTCCATGTGACAGGCCCTTCTGCGTCTTTCTCAATATTCCTCTGTGTTTCACACTATCAAAAACACGACAGTTAAATCAAACCTCATCCATGGCATCATTTAGAACATTAACATTAACAGTGTTTATGCATTGTATCTTTTTGGCAGAACTAAGTGTGTAAATGATCTACTGTTTGATATGTGGTTAGGCTATTCATTATGGTGCCCCAGGGCTTTGTAGTAATAATTAACGTGTCTTTGGGTTTGCATTTTTCTCCAAATCTGGAGAAACTGCAGTTTTACAAATTATATCATCCTCAGGCACTATATAAAACCTGAGGACACATTTTATAGAAATCAGCACAGCCATTTTAAATCCATCAAAAAGACAGTACATTCATTCTTCTCCTAGAATTGGACTGTACAGAATTGCTGCTTGTTTAATCAGACTTGTCATGATCTGGTTCCGATTGGAGGCAGTTTGTGGAGACAGCGGCAAGGTGGAGGCTTGCTTGTTCTGCTGGTGTTTGATGGGAACAGCCTGACCCCTAAAGCAGTGCCTGGATGGTGGAGGCCTGGGTCAGCTGGCCCAGTGTGTTCTTTATCAGCTACCCCAGCGACAGCATGGCAGATTGCAGCCATTCCTCCTCTGATTCATTGTCTGCTGGACAAATGTTAATTGTGTTCATCATTGGCAGCTATGTGAACGCTCTGATGTACCCAGTCTCACTCCTTGCCTCCCACTTAATGTGTGTCTCTGCCCTTATGTTATCCTGACAATGCCTGCTTCTCTCCTCACTCCACCCTTAGCTCATCTCTCAACTGAAAGGCTGAGGCTATTTTAATGTTCGCAGTGCAATATCATCAAAGAAAATACCTCTCTTTCATCTGATAGACTGACTTTTTAAAATTAAAATTAAGTAAATATATTTAGAGATTTATCCACAAAACTATAAAACTAGAAACTATATTATATGCAAAATACCCCATCATCAAAAATAATTACACTCCAAATAGTCTATTTTAGTTTTTTTTTAACATTCAAATTAGTTTATTATTTTTTTTCTTTTAATTTTTCTTTTTCAGAATCCTCATGCATGGAGAAACTTCTTTCCAAAGACTGGAAAGAGAAGATGGAGAGGCTCAACACCAGTGAACTGCTGGCAGAAGTGAAAGGTAGGACTTCAAGGACTACATCAAACCAAGCAGATTTAACCACTTTAAGCCGTGTTAACAAGTCCCTCATTCCATACATGTCCTCAGATATACATTATCTGTGTTCTGTACAATCTCAGAAACAGCCTTGTACTCTGAAATAAAACAAAGGCCTTTGGCTGCCCTTTTCATTCATTTCTCTTCTCCCTTATCTTTTGTTGGAATGCCCGACTCCGTCCAAACTGCTGTCTTCAAAATTCCAGCCTCTTTAGACCCATTCTGAGGCTCTCTGTGCTTGTCAGCAGTTTGTTTTTGTTGTCCCTTTACACGCCCCTGAGCTTAGCAACTCTGCTCTGGCACATGCAGTACCTTCATGCCGCTCTGGTAATTGTTGAACCCAAAGTGTGCTTGATGTAAACAGAGCATGGCTGAGCTGAGAGGAGAGAAGCCGTTAGGAGAGGTGATGGTGCTGAGACGCACAGTCGTCTCCTCCAGTGAGCCTGCGTTTGAGTGGAATGTCTTGACTCTGACAGTGAACGCCCTGCGCAGCGTATCAAGTGCAGCGCAACTCAGCACTCCCCCAAAATCTTTGTTTATGACAGGGCGAAGGTGGGCCGAGGATGGGCAGAGCTGCTGCTTAGACCTTAGCACTGACTGTTACTGAGAGCTGGTGTGTTTATACAGCACAGGAAAGCACAATACCAGATGGCTGACAACACCGGGCTGTCACTGGCTCCTGAGCTCTCCCTCAGTGATTACCTTCATCAGACAACTTCTCGTGCCTTGTTTTTATTTCTTGGAAACCATTTAGGCAATATTCCCAATATAACAAATGTTTTGTTTTTTTAAATTAATATTTCATGAAAATTATTTCACAAACCTGCAGGTAATTTTGATCATTTGCTTAATTGTTTCTTTTTATAAAATATGGGCGACACACATAAATAAAACTAGTGTTTAGTTTTAATTATTGAATTACACTTGCATAGGAAAGGGCAAAACAAAATATGTTGAATGTTCTAATAAGTATATTCATTGCCAATAACCTTAATGAACTGAAGGATAAATCATTGCTTGGTAAACTAGATTCATTGTACCTACCCTAGTTTACTGTATGCCACTGTAGATCAAAGTGCACTGGGAAAAATGTTTAAAATGATTTAGCCTTTTGAAAGCTGGTCTGTTAAATTACAGGCAGGGCATTTCTTCTGTTTGATGAATGGGAACGTGAAGGTTACTTGGTGGTCTGTAAACAGGTAGGGAGTCTGATAATAAACACTATGGCCTCTGTCTGTTGATGAGTTATGGAGACAGTCTATACACCACAGTTACCAATATAAATGCTTCTCCTATCACAGTGGCAGCCTTAGATTTTTAATTAGCATGCCATTTCATATGACTGTAGACATTTCAAAGGGCTGCTTTGTGCTCCCCATTACAAATGTCTCTCTCTCTCTGCGTTTGATGTCTGCCTGATGTAAATACGGGCAATTAAAAAGAAGCCCAGGGTTGGAGACACACAAGGTCCGCCTAATTAAAACACAAACAAAAGGTACCAAGCAGAAAACACCTTATGATTAAGATCTAAAGTGTTATGATGAATCAGAAGTTCCATTAATAGTTAGGTTAAAATCAGTACAAAAGGAAAACATGCCTGTAGGTTTTAAATCAATGAAAGAAAGTAGAGACTAAAGGACTGATATGTAGATAAAGACTACAGCACCTACTGGCAGAGTGGCCTTGTATATTCTATGCTGATCGCTCACCAATTCTGAACCAATTATACTCAGCACCTTGTAGGCTGCTTTTTCACATTGTTCCATCAAAGCCTCGAAGGACAAATAATTGTGTTATTGCAGAGGCAAGTGGTGGAATCTGACTAGTTAGGAAATAATTTTGTCTCACTCTTAGAAAACAAATACAAATGAAAAACAATAGGTGTGACAGAATTTGACCTGAGGCTTTTACCTGTGAAAAGAAAGACATTCTTCCACTGCAGTTGTGTTCAAACATGCCCAGAATATTTTATCCTGTTGAGGTGAACATGCACGTACAGTAAACAAACAAAACAAAACAATCGTATCAACATCAGAGATTTGCTTTTCAAGGTCTGCTAACCCAACCAACCATTTATGTCTTACAGATGACACATCTATAATTATAGCTTATTGTCACGTGGGTGTTTGGCTACATAACGTGTTGTTTCTGAAGTAAAGACATTTTTTCAGGTTTTAGAGTCAGTAGGAACAAGCACAGTAATCCAGTAGAGGTGGTGTGCTTAAGCCAGACATGTAGAATGGTGTTATTAAGGGTTAATGATTTCAAATCTCCATCTGCCTTTTCGTGTATGCTGTTGGGGCTTAGCATCAGCAGGGGCAGGCAAAAAGGAGTTTGTGAAGGAGCATTAGTGGCGGATTTCTTTTCACCAGTCAATTCCAGAGCTAACTGTTTGTTTTCATACCTGAGCTTAGCTGTCAATCTGCAGGAACGATGAGGAGGGAGATGAAATCTCCTGAACAAAACCACAGAGCAAGAAATTGAGGCCGGCTGGAAGGGCTCCAAACCACAGAAAGTAGCAGATAATAGGAGGCAAGGTGGAAGGAGGAGTGCAAGAGGGAGACAGAGAAAAAGATTTTAGACGTGAATACTTAGACTCAACACTTATAATTATATACGGAGAGATTTTTCTCTTAAAAAAATGCAACGCCCCCATTCATCACATGATTTAGGACGTGTCATATACATACAAATATAGTACACAGGGTCCTACTGCAGATAAGGTTGCTCTCAGTTGCATGCTTGCTCTGTGCAGGGTCTTTGAGCCTCATATTCAACAGAGCTGTTTAAGTTTCCCTGCTGAGTGCCAGTTTCCCGGCATCCCGTTGGGAGAAATGAAAAAATGTAAAATGCTCAAGCATTTACTCAAACTGAAGGAAAATATGTAGTTACTAAATTGGAACACAAGCTGTATTCATTCTCATGGAATTTGCTTAGAAAAATAATAAGAAAAAAGCTTAGCATTGTACACAACCGTTGAAATGGCAGCTTGAATTCTGAAGCAGAAAAATCGGGGCTCTTGCACTGTCACAATCAATTTGAGAATGGTGTCTACATGACAGTGGTCGGGTGCACACAGACAGTCCTGTGGCAGGCAGATAAGTGGAAGCTCTTTAGGAGGAGAACACAGGGCAGGGCAGGGCGGCAGCTGAGACTGATTTGATGCTGGCCTTACCTGTGCTGGCTTTACTCCCGCACAGACAGAAAGGAGTCCACTGTGTGAATACAGAGACCATATTGTTGAGCCGTAATGGTTAGCTTCAAAACATGATTATTCACTTTAAAATGTAACTTTACGCTTAATGGCGTCCATAAAGGGAGGTTTTGATACCACTGGAGATACACAGCACAATATCTGCGCACACATTTCCCAGTGACACTGCCTTAGGTAGCTTTAGATACAAGCAGGAAAAGAATAGTGTGTAGTAGACTTCAAATGACCTCTATATTTTTACAACATGCTGTATGTAAATATTATGTATATTATATTTACCCAAACATACAAAAACATTTGCACAAACAGCACAAAACAGTATCTGTCCAGTTGCTCCAGTCAAAAATGCCTCAGTTAGCATTTCTCCACAACACTTCAGTCAACTGTTTGCCCTGTGCACTCAGGTGAAATATGAGCCACAGTAAATCATTATACCTCAGGCCACATTTGCCAGATGAATGTATGAGAGTGTTGGACTGTGTGTTTTTCTCCTCTAATGAATTGAGGAATTTAGCTTGTGGCCATGGAGGTAAAAAAGGAAGTGCTGTGCTCATGTGTGTTTGTCTATGTGTGTGTGTGAGTGTGGGGATGGAATTCTCTGTTTGTGTTTTGAATTATATTCCAGTGGTTTGTCATGATTTGTTTAACTAATGACTTTTAAAGTTGTATAATACATTTCATGCAAACAAGTGTATTAATCCTGTTTTCATTTGAAGAGAATGTAACCATTCATGGAGCTGATAAAAACACACCTATGTCATTTATAAAAGGACACTTGGCAAAGCAAATTGTATCTGTAGGCCTGACCTACATTAGTACTAAGGATGTAAATATGATATGAATACATTATTCAGATATGAACAGATAATGCACACCGAACAGATGCGAACACATAAATTTTAGGGGCTGTCTTAAATGTTCACACAAAATGGCCAAGAGGGGTTTTCAGATTTTTCTTTTTCATTTTTCAAACCAACTCCATTTTCACCTTTATCCGCAACCTCCATTTTTAAAAAATGCAATATGGCCCAATGAGCTGTTATGACACTTCAGAACAACTTTACATTTATGTGGGCCTCCTCACATTATATACACACCCTCCAGTTCTTTATAAAAAAATTTTTAAAATTTTTTTTCCACTGTTAAAACTACCCATTCTATTTCTACGCGGCCCACTACCAGTTACACCACTTTTACTTCAGTTTAGAGTTACTTTTTTTCTCTTTTCAAAGGTGGGGTTTAAATACCAATCAATGTTTTGTCATTTGATAATTTCAGGTTGTATATTTTGTGGTCAGTTTAAATACTTACTGTATGTATAAGGCGTATAAGCATATGTATGTTCATACACCCATCTTCTCAACTCTGTCTGGACTATCACATCTTGATTTAAAGCTCAAGATGCTCTTCCCACATCATGAATTCACTCTTCTACCTAAAGCCACTCTGACATTATATTAGTAAAGTGTAAAACTAACATGATCTCTGCTAAGGTCTAATGACTACAAATGTCTTGGCAGCTTGAAAACTAAGTGGGTGTTCTTATATACTTTGTGAATACATGTACTGGTCTCTGCTGTCTTTGCTTCCTGTACAGCTATTTCATTCTGTTGCTTGTGATCTGGATTAAACCCAGACCAAACACAGGCATTGCTGATACACTTATCCATCAAAAACAACAGTCATAATGTCTTTTGAAGGATCTCCTTTGCACAGTGCAAGGAATCAAGTACATTCTTCTTTAATTATCAGCTGTACTGGTAAGACCAATGAATAAATGTTGTGTGAAAAGAATAAGGTAACATCTAACTCCTAAATCACTTCCAAGGTTTTGCAGGCAGTAAGCTGTTGCCTTGATCAGTCTTGCAAGCTTTAAGCACTTTGTATGAGAGACCTTGAAAACTACGTATCCTTTTTATTTATTTTAAGGGCACAGAGGTCAGACTCATCATCATAAAGGCCACGAGAAATGAATAGAAGTATTCGAGACAGTCTTTGTTTTCGTGTAATGATCTTTGCTACATGCGGCCTTGCATACATACAACATCCTCCATGGTTCCAGGATCTCTCGGTTGTCGCATGGTTTTATAGAGTGAAAGAATGATGCATTCAATTGCTGAGAGAACAGAAGTAAAGTTTCTGTGTTCTGAGTTATTTTTTTGTCTTCAGTATGAATTTCAGGGTCACTGGCATTCCCTGTGGAGTAATATGTTCAGGTCGAGCCTCTATCTTGGCTTTGATGAAGTACCTTGTCCAGTGTCATGGATAGACAGTGAAGTGCTGGAGCTTTTACATTAGCATAATTATACTGAAGAGCGAAGCTTCCTCTATCATCAAAATATTAGTCTCCATCAGTGTTCAGCATGAACAGCAAAACCACCATAGATGAAGTGTGCTTTTATTAATAACCTCTCCATATGCCAATCTGAGTAAAAAAAATCTGTCTGCTGAGCTATTTAAATGATTTAGATTCTGTAAAGGTTTCTTAAAGTCATATCTCAAATATACTCAAATATATGCGCACACACACTTATAGATAGACATATAGATATACTGTAAGAAGCTTATAATGGCAAACTATCATTAGAGTAAAAAGCTGTTAAAAGTCTCAAGCAGTCTCAAAAAATTTGAGAAGATCTAACTTTTTTTAAACAAGATGATGGGCAGCTTCTCAGTGTGAACTAGTCTAAATATTCACACCATATAGGAAAGCTTGGGGACTTAGAGTCATTGCTGCCAGTAGATGACATGTGCTTGTGAATCATTGCTCATGCTTGTTAATGGGGTTTTATTGGCAAGATTAACAGCTTTTATATCATGGCAGAGGCAGCAAGCCAGGTAAAACAGCTGTTGCTCATATTGTCTTGGTTGTAGGGCATGGAGAGGCGTTAACATCATATTACTGGAAACACATATGGCCTTGTAGCATTGCTGAACAAGTGCATATAGTAGTTAAAAGCACAAGAACACCATAAAACTCAATCTTGTTATTCTAGTTTGGTTTTCTGCTAATGTGTAGTCAATATGACATTTTTCTGACCAAGGGATAAAATGTTTCAGTCATATTCAATATCACAAAAGTGGTACAAAGATTGGTTTGCGTTTTGCGCTTCTGTTGAAACAGTTTTATGGGTTTGCAGAAAGGTCTGTGAGCAGAAAAATCCCATTTTGAACAGTAAATACAGTGCCAATAGATGCCATTAGCCGCAACTCACTTGGCTCTTTGTGTTTTCCACAGAAAGATCGGACAAAGGGTCAGATGACCATAGAGTTCACACACGTGTGCATTTACTCAGAGGCATGTACCTTTCATCGATTGAAGCAGCATGCAACACACATCTGTACACACTCTACATTCACACACACTTTAGGACGGAGGAGAGAAACTCAGCACGCAAGGCATTCAAGCAATGTGCGGTTTGTGTGCGGATACAGCTTGGTACAATCGTAGCATTTAGACAAGTCTTAATTTACTTAGGATGGGCTTGCAGCATATGGAAGCATCCACAATAGCGGACTGATAGAAAGACAAAGAAATTCCAGTCCTCTGGTGCTAAAAAACTCAATTCAGATCTGGTTATAATGGCTCAGCTGTTGTAACCAAAGGAAGGGAACAGAATAGGGTGCCTTGTGATTTTCCCCCTTTTCACCCTCACCCTCCCTCGCTTTTCTTCTTTTTTTGTGCCTGAATCTTTTATCTGTGTCATTCACTCGGGACTCTTCAAAGTAACAAGCCTCCTTCTTTTTCCCCGGTACTGGACTTGGAACCCAAATTAGAGACTGCTTGATTAGAGCAGAGGGGAGGGAGCCAAGAGAGAGAGAGATGTGGGTATTGGACAGAACAAATCACACCCCTACAAAGTGCCTTTTATCCAAAGACCCCAAGGCTCAAATACCCTCATCCTTCCCCAAGCAACCATGGCTCTGCTTGTTTTCCTCTTATCATTTATTCAGTCACCCGTTGATGTTTTCTGCCCTACTTTGTGACGTTTAAAAGAGGCAGGAATCTCAAAAGGTGAATGCTGAATGGGCTGAAACTGAACAACACAACTTTACCGTCTCCTCCTATGTGTCAATCTAGCATCTCTGAAGTTAACACAGTGGTCTGAGGGAAAAAAAACAAGAAGAGTGCCAGCACAGCTTGACTGCTCACTCCTGGGATCCTCTTCCTGTGTCAGGCTGGTATTGTCCTACTGAGCTTCAGTCGTCTAACAGGAGGATGTCACAACATGTTAGGTCTGGGCAGACTGTTGGGGTTTATGTAGCGCCAAGGCATCTCTGGGCTGTCTGTCTGCCATCGGAAGCGCAATGTGAGGAGACATGTTAACGGGCAGATCCCAGCCCCACTGCTGTTAAAAGCCATGCAATATGCAGGAAACGGCCTCTTTTGTCAGCAGGCTGGTCAGACACAGACCACAACTCTCCTCTTCTGCACCACCCAATAAAAGTTTTATCTGCATTTTAAAGCTGATCCATAATTAAAGCAGGAAGAAAGAGATTTTTACACTAAACACTCAACAAAAAACATATGCCCCTGATTTTCTAAGCTGTATACAGTCTTTAAGGTGAAATTCTTCCACCAGGTTTTCTTTTTTTGTTTTTTTAGATATTTAGTTGCTAAAGGTTGTTCATCTTCAGCATTCACCACTAATCTGAATAATTCTGGAATTCTTGGTTTTTACAAATATAGTCAAAGTGTTAAATAATTAAGATTTAAATTAGCACCGGTCCTCTTGCACATTCACACAAGACAAAATAGATGTGCTGGACATTCCAGTTAAATTCAGGAAAGTTGTGGGGGGTGGTTGACAGTGTCATCAACACTCCTAAACTAGGAAGTGATCATCAGAAATATGTAATTAGGCAGGGTGAGAGGGCGTCATTCAGTCCAGATATTTGGTTTCCAACTCAGGGTCACCTTTGCCAGCCTTGAGGACTGATGTCCCTTACCTTCATCTGGATGATGACTTTTGTTTTTCTTTTCTTTCTTTCTCTCTTTCTGTCTTTCTTCATTACTTTCTTTAGTTCCTCTCTCCTTCCCACTACAGTATTGATAGAAATGATTTATTGTAACACCGAATGATGTATCTTTGCTGGTGACCTGTAAAAGGCAGCTCCTTCATGGACACAGCCAAAGGTTAATAAAATTGGTGCTGATTGTATCAATTTTACAGATAAGCCATTCACAACAAGTGTAGTCGGGTGAATAAGAAGTCAATTCAGGCCTTGGAAACTGCACGCAAGCCCAATGAATAGCTGCTTTTAGGTGCTTTTTTTTCGTTAGGAGGATAAATGGAGAATTGCAGCTCTCTTCCATTGCAGCAGGCAGCGGAGGCAGAGCGAGGTTCAGACAAGCCTGCCAGTAAATTGCCCTGAATGGGTTCTGGAGGTTGACAAGCCCTATTAAGACAAACGGCTTTCCTCATCGGAGAGATAAAATAAATCAGGTGTTTAGTCAAATTAAAATAGTTTGAGTGGAGAGGGCCCCTGGGAGCTCTCTGAGAAACTCAAGACAGATGTGGCCAGAGACATGAGGAAGACACCCAGGAAAGAATTCAGCTCCTGCTGGCCCCAGGCCAGACTATATTGTACTGTTATCTGGGTCTTTTTGCTTTTATCCTTTTCTCTCACTCTCTTAGTGTCTCTCTCTGTCTCTTCTCTTCTGTCAGTTTTCCCATCTCTTTTTTTGTATGTTCTCCCAGATCAGCTTGTCACACAGGAGTGCAGTGGGAGGAGAGTTGAGTTACTGTCTAGCCTCTCACTGGCAATTATGTTGGCGGTGTAAGTCAATGGTAGGATCACTTAGCATTGATTAGGCGGAGGGAGAGAGCAGTGCAAGCGGAGACGCTCTCTCTATCACACACAGTGCAGACATGTGACTGTAGAAAGAGAAGTAAGCCTATTGTTCTGTCATTGCTTTTCTGTTTGAAGTACACTTACTGTAACTACACAGAGATCACAATAAAGAGTGTATTGTTCAGTGTAGATAATTTTCATACAAATACTATTTTAATAATGATTGTCACAGTGCATTCAGAGCATATTTCTGGAATGTAAATATTGCATCTCAAGTTTGAACAGTTGAGTTCCTCCTCCAATGCGTTGCTGGAACAGCCATATGATGAAAAACCTATGTTGTTTTGAGGCCAGTGCAAACACTGACTCTCAACTCTCAACTTTATATTCACCCCGGTAGTCTGACATAAGCTGCCACCTCAGTTTGACAACTCCCTGCAGCTCTTTGTCTATGTGCCGGGAACAATTCCTTCCCTTTCTTCCTGTGAAAGCTGTGAACACCAGGTACAGTAAAACAGACAACTCCAGGGTGTGTGTGACCTTAACACTTTGTGCATTCACTGCAGTTGGTGGCTGCCTGTGCGGTTTTCTTTGTACGATATATTGTGTACAGTACTATGGCACAATATGATGATTGGTGTGTGCAGTATGGTTGCGTACAGTGACTAAGGCCTTCTGTGGGCTTTCTTACAAAAGTACACCCTGGTAATTTAGTTATGGCCACTCTGAAACCTTTTGCATAATTTTATGCCCCTTTTTTCTCTTTCATGCAGGTATGCATAAGCTATACCTGTATCTGTGTTTGACTCAGGCTCTCCACCTTGTGTTTATCCTTTCCACTCCTGACATCGTTCTCTCTCTCTCTTTCCCCTCGCTAGGTACTCCAGAGAGCCTGGCAGAAAAGGAACACCAGCTCTCCACAATGATCACCCAGCTGATCAGCCTGCGCGAACAACTTCTGGCTGCCCACGACGAACAGAAGAAGCTCGCTGCCTCACAGATGGAGAAACAGAGGCAGCAAATGGAGTTAGCTCGTCAGCAGCAGGAGCAGGTAACTGTTCACTGTTTTCATTTCTCACTTTCACAGTATCTCTCTTTTTGTACTCCAGATAATAGACTGTATTTCTGTCACTATATTCCATATATCCCACTCTTTCTCTCTTTCTTTCTTTCTTTCTCTTTCTTTCTTTCTTTCTTTCTTTCTTTCTTTCCTATTTAAAGCATTAATTCCACTTCCTCCTTTAATCTTGTTTACTCTGTTTCCCCTTCCATCCCTATAATCAACCCCATTAAATACATCTGTAACAAATTGTCACTTGACTCTCGATTTCAAATTAAATTTCATGCCTGAAATATGCCAATAAAATCTTAGTCCTCACTAGGAATTTGGAATAATGTTAGATTTAAGAGATGTTATATTCTATATTACCTCAGATATTTCTGTCATGCTCTTTCGCTCACATTTATGCTGTGCGGTCGGGAAAATGTTATTATGACTTGTACTAACAAATGCGAGGGAATGTGTGAATTAAACGTTATATTAAACACGGAAGTCCTCTATATCTTATAAATCGACTCCTATTAGAACAAGCCTGGCATTAGATTTGCAGCGCGAATCAGGCCAATGAGCCATATTGTACAAATCAGCAAATTAGCAGAGGCCATGAAGTGTGTTAATGTCTGGGAAGAAATAAGGACACAAACTATCCACACAGGCGACACTTTTATTATCACCAGCCACCCTAATGGCTATGAGTCAATTATCAGCAAGGAGTTCACTCAGAGTTTTCTCAGCACACTCTCAGACCTTCATGTGGTAAATGAAGAGAGAGACCATATACCTTGGAGTGATGCATTTGGTCATAGTACACTAATATTACATTAACAGTATTGATTTCTTTTTCAATCAATGATGTTCATTTGCAAACTACACTCAACTCTGTAGGCTTTGTAGATATCACAGCATAAATGAACAGTGATATTTTATTATTTGATCTTATTTTAAATTGGAAGAATATTAATAAAATGGAAGAGATGGAGGGAGAGAGCGAGGGAGAGCGAGGGAGCCCGCTGAGAGCTAGAATGTCATCAAGCCATCAAGATACAACACAGTAATTAACTGTTGACACTCGTGAGGAAGCCAGCACAAATTAATCTTGACACATTTGCAGACGGCCGATATCTTACAGTGAACACTTTGTAATTATATTTAAAAATGAAAATTAAATGACACTTAAAACTAGGTTGTCATGCTCAATGAAGTGAGCATGTAGAAAAGGGGACTGCCAGAATGAGAAGGATTGCAGTGTGACCGCACGTCACTCAGGGGCGGCAGGGACCTCTGTCACCCATAAACTCTCTGCACCAGTTATCTCCATCATAACCACATTCGTCTGTCCTGTAAATAATATATTTTCTTTTACCACAAATTTTGACTACGCAGTTCAGCACCGTTTATTTCAAGTTCATTTAGAAAATTGAAAATATGTTTGTTTTTGTCAGATTTTGCTGCCATTTGGTTATAAAACCATATTTTGTAAAAGGAAATATTAATTATTACTCTCACTTATCAACCGCCACTTTCTTCCCTCTATATATTTCCATTCAAACCGCTATTTTTTAACATACATTTAATACACTGTAACTGGCCTGGATAGCATTTAGGAGCTGGTATTGCGTCACCAGTTGCAGCACAGTTCCTACATGGTGTTGTCTAAAGAGAACAAACATATTGCATGGTTTTAGTTCCTACTTTTCTTTTGCAAGGAATCATTTCATTTGCCACTCTGTTTCCAACCAGATTGCAAGACAACAGCAGCAACTTCTGCAGCAGCAGCACAAAATCAACCTCCTCCAGCAACAGATCCAGGTCAGTGAATTTGTTTCTGTTGGCCCTTTAACACTCAGGAGCTTACACCTCTCACTTCTTCGACGTTGATTACTACAACATTTCTCCCTCTTCAGTGTAATTGACCACCACTGATGTCACCATGAGGCAAATGTCTGGATTTAATGGCACAGATCAATAAAAATTAGACATTAAAGAAAATATCTTTGCTTACTTCTGTTAGCCTCTCCTTCTCATCTTTTTCTCCTTTTTATATTTCTTGTCTTTTTATCTTTAATTTTTGTGTCACACTAACATTCATCACTCTCATCAAATGTTAATTGCCTGTTGGTAATTGGGAGGGCTTTAAAATATGGGGGAGAATAATTAGCACATCTTAATGAACAAAAAAAAGGAGAGGGGGTGGGGAGTAACAACAGCTAATGAGTCCTGTTGATGGAGAAGAGCCTGGAGGTGGGGGACATGAAAGAGGCTGGTAAATGCCTCTGAAACGAGTTTGTCCCAGACGGGAAACGTGGCATGCCTTCCACAGCACTACTGCTGAAACTTACATTGTCATTATGCTGTGTGACTGGCATTGTGTATTTCTTCTCTGTTTTCATCTTATTCCTTCTGGTTTACATTAATGTGCTGCTCTAGTTTATAACCTATGCACCTCATGCCAGATATTCTCATTCTCATTATGAGTGTGTTTGTTTATGTGTGCCTTATTTCATACAGTACAGTGTGGTGTAGTGACAGACCACCCAGGCAGCATGTAGCTGGACATGGTCAAACAGTACAGGGTAATCCAGGGTTGGTCACTGACAGTGGTCAAGGCTATGAGCCTGGCTGCCTGTGTGAAGCTAATGTTATCCTGCTGGGTGTGCTTAGTGTCAGGCACATCCTTCTCCATTCCTCTGTTTGTTCTTTTTGCTGACAACTCCCCCCCCCCCCCCCCCCCCCAACCTCTTCAAACTTTTTATTGCAACAAAGTGGTAATCCAGCATCTTTAAGCACTCCTCACAGGATATACTATTTGGGTTTTTTTTTTTGTGCTTAACAGCAGTATCTTCTTATGCACATTGTATGGTCTTACGATACACATAGGCAAAGCAAACTTCTGGTTTCAAACAACAGTTAGTGCATCAACCAGCTTTACCTGCTCTTTCAAGAGTTCTTTTAAGGAGAAAGGCTATACTGTCAACATATTCTTGTGAAGCCACCAGCCTGGACCTTTCACTTCAACAGTGGACAGTCTATTGGAAAAGTAATTCCATAATACTCCACTAAAGAGAAGCACAGAGCATGACACTGTCTAGAAAACACTCTAAAATGAAGTACCTCATACACTACTGAGGGGCTAGTGATACTCAAATCATAGAGGGCCCTTTACTTATGCTCATTGAACATAAGGGCACAGCCCTAATGCATCTCGCTTTTAGAGGCCTTTCCTTTAATCACAAAGTTAAAGGCAAATGATACCTGAAAATTCCACTTGATGCATAGTTTTGAGAGATGGTGGGGGGTTGAGTGTGTATGGGAACATACTTCTAAATAACCATTTCAAATAGTTGAACAGAGATGTAAGTAAAGTCCTTTCTTGCAGAGCCCAGTTGGCCAGCTTCTCCCTTGACCGAATGTGCCACAGATCTTCCCTGATAAAAAAAACAAAAACAAATGCCACATCCACAATTAAACAAAAGAGTCCCACGTTTAGACCGCCAGCCTCTGCTGGCTGTACTTTGCAGACAGAACACCCCTCAAAAATAAATATGGATCACTATCAATACTTTGAAAAAGTTTGATCGTATGCATTATTGTTTATCCAAAACCAAGTCATTTAAAGCAAAGATGTTCTCTCTCCCTAACCTACTTCCTCCAAAAATCCAGTGTGGCGATGGCCACTCCTCTCGAGCTTGAGTAGCAAAGAGAGTAGATGAAAGAAAGTCAGGGGCAAGTTAGTGAAGCATTTTTTGCCATTCTGTTTTCATTACTGCTGCCTCTTAAAATGCCCTGGCCATTTTTATATATAACAGCTTTGACTTAATTAGTTCTGTAAACAAGCTTCCAGCCTGTATGTCACAGACTTTTAGCAAAGTGGTAAGCAGTGTTGGGGGATTGAGTTTCTCTGGTATTAGTATGGGGAGCACTAAACTTTATTGGAGACCCTACTGGCCATCAAAGTCCCTCTGCTTTGGCTTCAGGGAGAAAACCAAGAGCTTCTTGCTAAGGGCTTGTATTGATGATGTAACTGATCACATCAGTGGACATTGTAAACTGTCCAAACAATAAAAACCATGGGGACTGCAATTGGAGATTGTTGTTGGCACGCTATGTGTGTGCTTTCAAGGGTCTTATGCATGTGGATTGAAAGGAATCCATCCTTAGTGTATAGTTCTAGAGGTTTAGTTAGGGAGGTTCGGCGCAAGGCAGCATGCAGTTTAATCAAGTTTCTCTTTTGAATAGCCATCTCTCTTTTTATCCTTTCTCATCATTCCTACAAGAGAGGCAGAGAGATTTAGTCTTTGTCCTTCTGGATTACAATGTCACTTGTTTTAAGATAGCAGATGTTTTGATTGCAGTGTTAGGGGCTTATCAAAAGTTAAAGCTCAAGGCTTTGTGTGTTTTTCCCTCAGCTTGTTTGTATTACTTCAGTCCATCCTTGTCGTTGAAATCGTTTTGGCACTAATTCAATCCCAGGATGAGATTAACTCTGGAGTTGATTTAGCTGAAAATTTGAAACGCCACCAAGACACGTGACAATTAAACATATATATTAGCAGACAACTGGTTTGTCCCATAACTTACTTATCTCTCTGAAGCTGTGTGCAGGCACTTGGAGATTAAAAAGAAAAAGAAACAATGAGCACACAGTTCTGTCTTTTTTATTTAATTCGGCTCAGCATCACTAAGACATTCTGAGCATTATTTGAGTCTCCTCTTCCGCTTTCTGTTTCATAATCACACCCAGTTTCTCCTGCTCCTAATGGATAAGCAGTCGCAGCAGATGAGCAGCTAAACAGCATCACGTTGCTCATCAGACTGTTGACTCTGTCGGGCTGGCATGTTCTTTCATATACATTTTCTAATGACAGTACATGAGAGTTAAAGGCAGAAGCATGTTACTAAGAAGTGAGTAGCATTAGAGTGGTAACAGCAAAATAGTATATCAATGTCTTTCTGGAGACAAATAAAATAAAATGCCCTAATGAGATGTGGAGCTCTATGAAACTCAAGTAACAGTACTGTCCATAGCCATACCACCCCCCTCACCCTCACACAGTAATGACCCCAGTTCATGCATTCCTCGAGGATGGGTCTGTGAAGATACAAACCATGGTTTGACTCTCACACGCAGATACTCATATACATGCACTGAAACGATCGCATACAGTACACAGGCACACAGGGACCCACGCATTGATAGACACATCAAGAGAATAAATATTGGCGGAAAGGTCAGGGTGAACTTTATCTTCACAAACAGGCTGGAGAAAGCAGAGCTCCCCAGATGAAATGGGGGGGGGGGCACTAATCCAAAACATTTCATTTAAATTTTGTATTCATTAAAATCATGACATTGTTATTTGTCACTGGCTGTGGCATTGGCGTGCCAACCTTGACTACACTGTGAGATCTAAGATCTGAGAGATAATACATTTCTATGGAGGACATTGTATACCATGTTTTTTTCACACCTGTTTTCGAAACATTAAACGATCAGTTCATCGAGCAGGTCTGGTTCTGTTTATCTCCCTTTGACCGGTCGTTCTCTCCCTATACATGCTGTGGCTTCAAATTCCAACCTCACTGAATGTTCACACACATTGTCTGTGCCTCTACATCCTACCTATAACCTTCTGCCCACAAAGATACACAAACACACATACAGAATGTGAAACCAGAGATTAAAAGAGGAAATAAAGGGATATAGTTGTCCATTGCACACTTCAAAGTCTTAGAGGCTTTCTCACATGTGTCTTTAATGGTGTAAAGAAACAGTGGGAGATGTGAAACCTTCAATGGTTAGATGCTAAAGGTCCAAGATTAAATATGTTTCATTTTAATCTCACCAGCATTTAGCTAACCACAATTTATAAGGTGGACCATCTAGAGGTCGATTTTAAGGCATATATTTGGAGATGACACTGAGAACAACACACACACTGACACATATGTGGTGTGATAGAACAAATCTCTCTCTCGCTTCAACTTGTAGCTAATTCCTTGTTTGTCAGTGTGACACACAATGTAGCAGTGTAATACGGTACCGTTTTGATTATTCAAGGTATGTTATTAAACTATGCAGCTTGAGTTACTATTTACACAGTTTTAAACTAAGTTAAGCACATGTGAATAGATGCTGCTTTTCTTTTATACTACTTAAGTTTTAATACAGACAAAATTATATTAAATTCTGCTGTTTACCTTCAGTTTATAAAAGAGTAAAAAAATCTGGACAGCAGTGTTGTTTTAGTGAGTTCTACATGGATTTCCCATTTTCCTCTGTCAGAAAGAAACCAGAGAACTCACAAGGGAAGCTCTGTAACAGTGTCTTCGGTAGTGGCTGTAGAGTCTGCCCAGTTAAACACTTAGGTTTTTGTGTTACACACATTGCCATTGCTGTTGCTTTACTTTGCACCAAAACAAATCAATGTATCAATTAAGTGATAATATGTAATAACAAATGATCTATTAATTGCTCCCTCAACAATTCAAATATCTATATAGTTATTCACACGTTCTCTGGAAACATCTGTAGTAGCTTGGTAAATCTGGATTTTATGTAATGTGATCAAGATTGGTCAAGCTAGATGTGAGACATCTGGCATACCTCGCATCTTGCTTGACCAGCAGCTATCATCAAGTAATTTCACAGATTTTCAACAAAATCCAGCTTTAGCTGTGCCACTGAAAGAGTTACACATCTGCGTTGTGATGCCATTGCAGTGAGATTCAGCTGTAGGCTCAGGAAGCTTGGGGTCACGGTCCTGTTGTATCATTAATCATCATACCAATGTAAGGTCTTTGTCACTGAG